AGTAATATATTTACCAGTAGATGTTTATAATAGTGCCGATATATTAGTAGTAATATATTTACCAGTAGATGTTTATAATAGTGCCGATATATTAGCAGTAATATATTTACCAGTAGATGTTTATAATAGTGCCGATACATTAGCAGTAATATATTTACCAGTAGATGTTTATAATAGTGCCGATATATCCTCAGCTTAAACCCTGCTAGTGAGAGGTTACCCAACCTTCCATTATCATAAAGATGGATTCTAAATTAAAAAATTTGTTTTGAAAAAAAACTGAAGAACTTAATTTACTCGATCTTATCTTTAAAAATTTTACCATTATCATCATTACTGAGTTTCACCTATTTTGTTCGTTTTTAATATAAGCAATTTCCTCCTGGTCATGGTTCATCTCCTCAAACTCAATATCATAATCCAGGTTTGTGTTCTGCTGATACACCCTGTACAGTGGATATTAGTCATAGTTCATGTTCTGCTGATACACCCTGTACAGTGGATATTAATCATTGTTAATGTTCTGCTGATACATCCTGTACATTGGATATTAATCATAGTTAATGTTCTGCTGATACATCCTGTACAGTGGATATTAATCATAGTTCATGTTCTGCTGATACACCCTGTACGGTGGATATTAATCATAGTTCATGTTCTGCTAATACACCCTGTACAGTGGACATTAATCATAGGTCATGCTCTGCTGATACACCCTGTACAGTGGATATCAATCATAGTTCATGTTATGCTGATACACCCTGTACAGTGGATATTAATCATAGTTAATTTTCTGCTGATAAACCTTGTACAGTGGATATTAATCATAGTTAATGTTCTGCTGATACACCCTGTACACTGTACAGTGGATATTAATCATAGTTCATGTTATGCTGATACACCCTGTACAGTGGATATTAATCATAGTTCATGTTCTGCGGATACACCCTGTACTGTGGATATTAATCATAGTTCATGTTCTGCTGATACACCCCGTACAGTGGATATTAATCATAGCTATAGATTATTTTATCTATAGAAAGGCATGAATGATTATCAACAGTACTGTTAAAAGCTGTGTCTGACCAAGAAGGAATGAGATATCTATGATTGTACTTTAAATAATTGCATAGGTTTAAGTGTTGTTTCTCTAAAGTAGAAAACGATATATCTTTCACATGTTATTGATCAGGTTTGAAGGGTACCGTTGTAAATCAGAATCCCTATTTAATGATTCCTAAAGAAGAACAGATGGATTTCAGCATGTGGGTGCATTTAAAGTGTGTAAAATTTGGTTTCCTTAAGTAAGGTAAAAACATGTTTTGTTATACATTAATAAATATCTTAAAATTTAAGTTTGAGATCACAGTTTAACTGTCTAGTTGGACATAGTTAATTATCCTTTTTAAACATGGATTGTTAAGCTTCCAAGAGTCTCCACAAAAGTCAAAGAAGTTTAATATTTTTTAAATTGTATTTTCTTAAAGTTTGATTTTAATTACATAATGCAAAGACTTGACTTTGCAGAAGATTTAAGCATAAACTTTTTTACAAAGCGAAAGATTTATTTTAGAAGATTTTGAAACTTAATAAAATTCAATTTCTGAAATAAATAAAAACAGAATAGCTAAAATCGTTCAGAAGACCATTTTTTTAGATTTCATTTCGTTTATTATAACGGTGTTTTCCGGGGTTTTGAAAAAGAATAGCGGGAAAATCACCAAAAAGAGTTTTAAAAACACATCAAAACACAGAAATGTTTTCTTTATTTTCAGTAAATTTCATGAAATTTCTAGCGGAAAAATTAACAAAATTAAAATTCACAGTTTTTGTCGTTCTTGATTTTCAAAAGCTTGCTGATAATATTTTCCAACCCTAAACGTAATCCATTAAACCTACTACTCTCTTGAAAAACATATTATGTTCTTATTCTAACTCGCAACAAGGAATGTGTGACATCAAAGCATGGATTTAAAACGTCATTTACTATGTTTATCATATATATTCAAAAAGACTTTTATATGCTTTTAATAACCCAAAAAAGACATCTTCAAATCGAAAGTTTATCTACAAAAAATCTTACAAAAAAGAAAATGAAACATTTTAAATGTTTTGATTTTAATTGCGCGTGAAAAATTGTAATATCTATTTCACTACTGCAGGGTGTCCCACGAAACAACATTGAAAGATGATTTTAAGACCGTCAGTTTTGTGCTATTTGTTAAGCAAAACCAAATTTGCCTAAATCTGATCAAAATTCCTTATATCTCTGGTCGGTACTATATTTAAGCACAAAAAAGGCAGACCACATTTTATCAATGCCAAGATTAGTTTCATGGTCATTGTTTTAAAGACAATTTTCATGGTCGTCTCTTTGTAGTAAATGCCCTACTCCATAAAAGTCTCTCAGACCCGTATCAATCCAGGTATAACTCAATCCCTCTCGTTGGTCTATAAGGCATAATCAGTTCAATATCACTTCACTATTAATGCCAACACGAACACGGTCTCTAAACCATAAACTATCAATGTCAACACGGACACGTTCTCTAAACCATAAACTATCACTGTCAACGCGGACACGATATCTAAACTATAATTATCAATTTCAACACAGACACGATCTCTGAACCTAGAACTATCAATGTCAACACGGACGCCATCTCTGAACCATAATTATCAATGTCAACACGGACACCATCTATGAACCATAATTATCAATGTCAACACAGACACAATCTCTAAACCATAAATTATCACTGTCAACACAGACATGATCTCTAAACCATGAACTTCAATGTCAACATGGACACGATCTCTAAACGTACCATGAACTATCAATGCCAATATGGACATAATCTCTAAAACATGAACTATCAATGTCAACACGGACATGATTTAACGAAACAATGCCCAATCTGTGTCTATCTTTTAAGAAGTGATTTCAGGGCGTTTCTCGTTTGCTAAACAAGGAACAGTTACTTCGCTCACCGTAATCAACCCAGAGATTATTCCAACTAAATGTATTTGGGGTTCTATTTTACAAGTTTAAGATAATCGACGTAATTACAAGTTTTACGTCGATATATATACAATTTGATTAAGCTAATCATGTTACGTAGTTATTTACAGGGCAGTTAAGATAAATCATGATATGGATTTTACGAAGCTAATTACAAACGTAGATAATTAATAATGTAGAACGTAGTTCAGGTTTACAGATATAGTGTTACAACGATATTCATTACATCTTCACTGTCATGCTTCTTGGAATACCGTGTAACTGTAGTTAACATTTTTGTTTTTCACATCAATTTTATTTTTATCAAAATTACTCAAAACTCCAATAATTGATAAATAAATTCATTAATTATTAGTTCCTTAAATATTTCTTTTAAAAGTCGTCATTTATTTTCGTGAGATTTGCCGCGTTCTTCTGCGCGCCCTTACCTCGTGAGAAAGGTGATATCAGCTGATGATTCAAGGAAGGAATGATCATAAGTGAACGATCCAAAGAGAAAAGGACATTTGTGATTGTCAAATGGAAAAGAGCTGAACCTCATGGGACAAGTAATTGTCGTGACCAGAACCTAAACAGAACAACATCTACCTAATCAGGGTTTTAGTTTGAATTAAAAACTGCTTACATACATGAAGACGACTTTCGATTTCAATTTTTGATTTCTACCCAGATTTCCAGCAGCGTGGATCACATAGACCTGGAACAAAAACAAGCATTCAAAAAACAGATTCTCTTTGTTTGCCTGTAAACTTTCAAAAAAATGTTAGAAATCAAAAATTAATAAGAAAAGTCGTCTTCATTGTATTCATATAAACGCTAACTACTGAAAATTAATTTTCTATTTTTTATTTAATTTTCCTCTAAAATGCCTTTTTATTGCAGCATTGTACACTGTGAGGACCTAAAGTTGCAAAACAATTTTATAAATTTTGCAGTTTACAACATGTTTTGAATCGTCAAATAAAGAAAGGGATTATCTAATCTTTATATCTTTGCAACATGATGTAGAGGGGGGGGGAGGGACACTATTACCCCCGACTGCTCTCTGATATTTCTACAAAATCAAGATGTTCTTATAATATCAAAGCTTTACATTATCACGTTATAAAGATATATGGATATAGGGTTTTAGACAAGTATTTAATTCTATTAGTTGAAACCTCATGCTACGCAAGTATTGTAAAGGCTATTTCTGTCTCAATATACTGCTTAAGTCGATATGTTGACAATATTGAAGCAGAAAGTACAAAACAAGTATTGATTATTCATGCTTGTAAAGCATAAAGAAATGTATTATTTGATTTATTATACATTGACTGTTTTTTTTTACAAAGAAACCTTGGAATAAAACTCAATGTTGAATATGTAATAAGGGCCAATAAACATCATTGTTTCAGTACTGCACTGTACAGTCCACATAATCAAGGTCTTTAAGAACTGCACAATGCATACTGCATAACAAACAATTCTTTATTAAAGGGACTGTCAATGAAATTTCAAGTGAAAGATGGCAATAAGCCTATTCACAAGAGTACCCTTAAAAGGTTCGTCTGATAAAATATTAAATAGATATAAATGTTTATAATCTGAGAAATTGATTATTTTTAATTGTGGATTCTCTACAACAGATATTTGCGCATTTCTACTACAGAAAAAAATATAGGAATTTTCAGAATTAAACACTTTTAAACCTAGATAAACGATAAGTTCCACCACACTATCAGAATTGGTAACTTGAGAATACGCTTACAGTCCCTTTGAAGTGACTGTAAGCGTATTCTCAATTACATGATAGTCCCTTTAAAGGGACTGTAAGCGTATTTTCTTTATCTGATCAACGTTAAAGAAAATTGATACTGTTCTAATTGATGTTGTTGTATCAGAAAGGTTTGATTCTAGCAATTTCCATTTTTACCTCTGCTACATAAATATACAAGTCACTTTTATAGAGGAACCACAATAAGCGATAATCAATTTTGACATAGAAAAACAAAGACATCTTAATAATTTAGCTCAGGTGAGTACCATAGTGAATTGTCCACACCCCGCTTCAACTGGAGGGACAAATTATAGCGACTATCCCTAAAAATTCCAATCTTTCAGTTTTGAAAGTTGATTTGCAAACATTGAACCTGAGAATAGAAAACTGTCCTTTTTTTGCCTCTATTTATTTGAATTCCAGCAACATATTCTCCTAACATCTTAGGTTCCTATAACATTTACTAGATCAGTATTGATTCTTTTTTAAAGTCGTTGGTCAGGTTTAGTTTAGACTAAGACTAAGGACTAAGATATATGCCTTACAAGTTAGTGCCAAGAACTATAGTTCAGGATACAAGTCAGGGTTCAGGACTAGATCAGGATACAAATCAGTGTCAAGGATACAAGTCAGGGTTCAGGACTAGATCAGGATACAAATCAGTGTCAAGGATACAAGTCAGGGTTCAGGACTAGATCAGGATACAAATCAGTGTCAAGGATACAAGTCAGGGTTCAGGACTAGATCAAGATACAAATCAGTGTCAAGGATACAAGTCAGTGTCAAGAACTTGGTCGGAATACAAGTTAGTGCCAAGATTTAGGTCAGGATAAAATCAGGGTTCAGGACTAGATCAGGATACAAATCAGTGTCCAGGATACAAGTCAGGGTTCAAGACTAGATCAAGATACAAATCAGTGTCAAGGATACAAATCAGGGTCAAGGATTATATCAGGATACAAATCAGTGTCCAGGATACAAGTCAGGGTTCAGGACTAGATCAGGTTACAAATCACTGTCCAGGATACAAGTCAGGGTTCAGGACTAGATCAAGATACAAATCAGTGTCAAGGATACAAGTCAGGGTCAAGGACTAGGTCAGAATACAAGTCAGGGTTAAGAAATAGGTCAGGATACAAGTCAGGGTCAAGGACTAGGTCAGGATACAAGTCAGCGTCAAGGACTAGGTCAGGATACAAGTCAGTGTCAATGACTAGGTCAGGATACAAGTCAGGGTCAAGGATTAGGTCAGGATACAAGTCAGGTTCAAGGACTAGGTCAGAATACATTTCAATGTCAAGGACTAGGTCATGAATACAATTCAGGTTCAAGGACTAGGTCAGGATACAAGTCAGGGTCAAGGACTAGGTCAGGATACAAGTCAGTGTCAAGGATTAAGTCAAGATACATCTCAATGTCAAGGACTAGGTCATGATACAAGTCAGGGTCAAGGACTAGGTCAGGATACATCTCAATGTCAAGGAATAGGTCAAAATACAAGTCAGGGTTCAGGACTAGGTCAGGATACATTTCCATGTCAAGAACAAGGTCATGATACAAGTCAGGGTCAAGGACTAGGTCAGCAGAAAATATCAGTTATTGATATTACTTCAAAAGCCCAGCTTCAAAATCAGGTCTAGATCCAGATACCTGAATATGCCTAATATGATGCATCTCGATATCAGGACGCCATAGATGCTTCAGAAAGGAGAGTTCTACACCCTGATTTGAAATATATCATCAGTCAAATCCCAAAAAATACATAATTAAGCTTAGTCATAAACTTAACTTGTCTCATCCCTACATACCTTTTCAACCTAATGGTGTAAATCTTTGATATTTCAAACTCAGATTATTTTATCTAACAGAATTTACAGTTTGAAATATCTGAGGTTGCAAAGATACAGAAAAAAATACAATTTAGAGTTTGTGGCAAAGACTCAACTCCTTTGTATATAATTATTATTTATACCTGTAGGTCTTCTATAGTTGCATTCAGATTAGCTATTCTACCATCCTCCCACCGTACACCCAGATACATGGAGAGAGTTATACTTGACTCTTTAGCATCCACCTATAGAGTTATGTATGAACCAGTTCAATAATGCACAGATAACGCAGGAACTGAGTTTAAACCCGGATTATTATCTGAGTATTTAAAGTAGGGGTTGGAGAACATACAGGCAGTCCCGCGCATAACATCTAGTGTTTATATACTTTTTATATTCGGCAATTTTTTTATCATCTTACAGTAATTTCTAAATACTAGATTTCACAAACCTTAAAAATTTCTATAACATGTGGTTCTAAAACTATCTGAACAAGATTGCTGCCAAAATTTGGTGGAGGAAGATCCATCTTGTTGTAGTTCTTGTCAATGCAGAACCCATGGGAGCACTGGGTCCAATTCAACCTTACAAATATCTCTATGTAGTGGTTTCTGTAAAACCGGTTTTAAGAAAGCTCCAGATCATTAGCTTGAAGCCTGATCACGGGTCGTAGTACATTTGAATTTCAGAGCCTTGTCGACCTTTCCGGTCCCAGTTTGTACTGTACCGCACGGACATTGAGTTAATGAGGCAGACAATCAACAGGACTAGCCTGTGCAACAAGGTTGACGCGGTCAGACTTTATGCTACATTACATGTTGAATTTACTTTTACGAAAGTGGCATCGGTTCGTGTAATTTAAATCAGTTTTAATGAAATAGCTGTAAAGAGAGCATCAGCTGAATATTTACTGTAAAAACCAGTTTAACAGAACTAGCTCAGATGGCTTTAGCTTAGGCATGCAGGAAAACCGGTTTATTGAAAATTCAGGTGTGCATTCGCTGAAGCCTGATTTAATACTGGTTTTGTAGAAAGCTCTACTAGCATCTTCTGAAACTGGTTATACAACACTATTGCTTGAAAAGCATCAGTGCGCCTGTTGTCAAACCGGCTTTGTGGCTAGCTCTAAAAAAGTCAGCTGAAGCCTGATGTAAAACCGGTTTTGTAAGAGGCTCAAATAGCATCATCTGAAGCTTGCTGTTAATCTTTGTAACGAGACAAGAATCAAAATTTATGTTTCTTTCTCCGGATAAACAAGAAAAGTTCAATTAATTGATATGAAGATGAACCTGTTTCTGAGTAATATATATCAAATCAAAACAGACCATGGATTAGAGGATATGTAGATTTCAAAACATCAACAAGTTTATAATTTACCGGGATGAGGCAGATCGTTCCTCCTCGTCCCTCCTCTCTTCCTCATCCTCCTCTTCCTGCTGATTCAAGAGTCTAGAGTACAATCCATTTATCCCGTCCTCTCCTCTTCTCCATTCTCCATCAGGGTTGTTCCTTCTCTTCAATTCATTGCTATCATTTTTTAATTATCCCAGCAGGGTTGCCAACTACAAAGTTAAGAAAACACCAGGGTTGGCAACCCTGATCTCCATGCTTACTTGACTTTATCTCCAGTTCTAAGTTTTTCAATTTTTATTCAGTACAATGAAAATCAACATTTAATTTTAATATCACAATAAAATTCTTAAATTTAGATTTTTCCTAAAAAATGTCAAGGAAATGTCAGAAAGAGTGCATAATATTGACTGAACAAAAGAAATGCAGGATGCTAAACATTACTTGAATAGCTTAGTTTGATGATGATCAGGTTTGAGCCTGGCAGCTCCAGTATTATGAAGGATCAGGAGAAGGATGGAAGAGAGAAGCATATCTTCTAACCTTCAACCAAACCTTGTTTCTCCATACTTATACTTTCATTAAACAGTTGTCTGAAACCAATGACAATATTAAAGGGATTGTAAACGTATTTTCATTATAAAGTTGTCTGAAGCCAATGACAATATATTAAAGGGACTGTAAACGTATTTTCATGAGACCTGATAAAAATGGAGTTGCATATTCGATTCACAACGGTATCCTTTCAACCTGAGTTTGATCATGGATAAATTATGAAAATAGATCTAAATCTATTTAGATCTAAATTATGATTTCTCTCAAAAAGTGACTTGCGGATTTAGGTAGCAGAGACAATGAAGGAAATTTTCAATATATCTACCTTATTGCTTCTCATACAAAGTTTTAAAAACACCCCAGCAATCTTAATTATGACCCTTCTTTGACACAAATCTTAAAGCTATTCAAAATTAGCTTTCTGCACATTATTTTCTTTTTAAAGAAAAAAAAACAGTTTATTTTCTAAGTTTAGAAAGCATAAAGCGAAATAAATGTGTTTTTGTGAAAAAACTCGTGGTGTAAAAATTGCTAGCTCTAAAGGTGAGTTTTCTATAAGGTTCAATTTTTTACCGTGGCGCAAAAATTTTCAATCCCCCCCCCACCCCAGTAAAAATATAGCACCTGGCATAATTTAAAGTTTTCAATATATTTTTGCCTTTTGCCCAGCTATTTTCTACACCCCTTAGTGATTCCAGACTCCAGTGAGAACCATTTTTTTTTCGACGTCGCATTCACTGTGCACTTCTTAAATATTAGGTCTTTTAGATTTATCAAATTAAAAAAAAAAATCTGATCATTTTATGTTTTTACTTAATCAAATATTGGCTAATTCACATTGAGAAAGAATCTAATGTGTACAATGTAACTCCCATGGTCAGATTTAGAGATAGAACCTTCAAAACATCCATAAATTTTCTTACAATCATGATAAACAGACTTGTTAATTTGTTTATTAAATGGTTCTACTGGGTCTCTAATATTTTTTACAAAATCATTACAGAATTGTGAAAATTTGTGTCTTTTTTAGGATTAAAAATAGGAAAATAATTTTATCTTTGCTTCTCATTCAAAATCCCATAGAAAGATACATATATTGCTGATCGAAATGGTTTATCATGACTTCAAGATAATTTACAAACGTTTTGAAAGTTCTACAACTGCTAGCTGACCATGGGAGAAGCTGAAATGTGCTTTTTTTTTACATATTTCTATTTGCGTATTAAGCTATATAACCTAAAAATCAAGTCAATTTTTGCTCAACGCATACTTTTTAATTGTATGCTTCCCCTTCGTCAATGTTTTGGACATTTTATAGAAAAAAAGGCTAAAATATGAATAATACACTAGATATATCAGAAAAGCGTTTTTGACATGAGCGTGTCAAATAAAAGAGTTTTCCTTTTATGGAACATTTTTTTCAATATTTTTTTTAATCTTTGGAGATATTTTCTCCGAAATATAAAGTTTAGCTGACGTAAAAATGTTGAAGATAGATCTAAACACTTTTTAGTTATTCTAAAAACTTTTTAGATTGTTCTAATACAATTTAAAATTGTTCTAAAAACTTTTAAGATTGAACTAAAAATATGGTTTTAAAGCTTAAATGTGAGACGATTATATCAGAACTTTCGATTTATTTGTGCCTATCAATTTTTTAGTTCAATCGCAAATGATCAAATGCATGGCGAACCGACACAAATTCTGTTAGAATCGGCTCACATTAAAAAAGTTGTTACACTAATCATAAAAGTTTAAAGAACAATCTAAAAAATTTTTGTAATAACTTTAAGAATTAACTATCTAATACAACATTACCCTAACTTTCTATGAGAAAGAAATCTCAAAGATTTATAGAAATATCGAAAAAAATGTTCGAAAAAGAAAAACCTTTATTCTTTGACATGCTTTTCTTATAGTGTTAAGAACTAAAAGTTTTAGATTGGTTGTTCAAATTGTTCAATTTTAAACACCTAACTCTAAATTTCACATTAGTTTATTGTTAAATGATCCTTTTTTAATGTGTTAAGGTTTTTAATGTGGCCGCTTAAAAAATATTTCCAGAACCTAGGAGGGGGCGAGGGGTATTACCCCAAGGTTATGGAGGGGGGTATAACCCCCAGATTCTGGGTGGGGGGGGGGTTAATTTTTTCTTATATCCCTAGCTATTCATATTTAATAAAATTAACGTCAATGAACCGCCCCCAACCCTCATTCCCTATTTATTATATAAGGATAGTGCATATAGCATTAACTAATGAACGAAAAGTAACATTTAATAAATTGATATCAATAATGTTAACATAATTAATTTTAAAAGTTGTTTCATTGATAATCATGTATTCAGTACTATAAACATAGTATTTCATTCTGCAAGGAAATACAATTTGAAATTTTAAACTCTAAAATTACTCCAGCAGTGTTTTTAATTTACTGAAAGGAACTGAGTCTTTGTCAGAAATTCAAATTTTCAAATCCCTATATCTCTGCAACCCAATGTTGTAGGCCGCCTTAGAAATTTCAAACTATGAAATTTGTTGAATCACATAAATATCAAAGGTGTACACCCTTAACTTGCAAAGATATTTGGATTAGAAGATTTATGTTTGGGACAAAGATTCTATTCCTGTACTTAACCTAAATATAGTTTTATCCTACCCGTATAGTTTCATGGAAAGCATTAAAGTTTTTAAAAGGACCTAAGGTCAAATTTAAAGAATTTAAGCCGCGGCTTAAATTTAAGTCGGGGCTCAAATCTGGTTGGTTCCACTTAAAATTGTGACTCTCTATTTATAGAGTAGCATATCTGATTCACAACTGTGCTTTTAAGCTTTCCTGATTGAAAATGAGATATTTATCACCTTCTTTTTTCAATCACGGTTTCTTTCTCAGAAACAATAGAGGAAGATGTCAGAATTAAATACTTTACAAGATAAAGGTTTATAATATTATAGTTCCTTTAATCATATTTAAAGATTAGTTCCTTTAATCCTATTTAAAGATTTGTCCCTTTAATCCTATTTAAAGATTTGTCCCTTTAATCAAATTTAAAGATTTCTCCCTTTAATCATATTTAAAGATTAGTCCCTTTAATCATATTTAAAGATTTGTCCCTTTAATCATATTTAAAGATTAGTCCCTTTAATCATATTTAAAGATTTGTCCCTTTAATCATATTTAAAGATTTGTCCCTTTCCTTTAAACATATTTAAAGATTAGTTCCTTTAATCATATTTCAAGATTTGTCCCTTTAATCCTATTTAAAGATTTGTCCCTTTAATCAAATTTAAAGATTTGTCCCTTTAATTATATTTAAAGATTAGTCTCTTTAATCATATTTAAAGATTGGTCCCTTTAATCATATTTAAAGATTAGTCCCTTTAATCATATTTAAAGATTAGTCCCTTTAATCATATTTAAAGATTTGTCCCTTTAATCATATTTAAAGATTAGTCCCTTTAATCATATTTAAAGATTAGTCCCTTTAATCATATTTAAAGATTTGTCCCTTTAAACATATTTAAAGATTAGTTCCTGTAATCATATTTAAAGATTAGTCCTGGGTTTATAATTTGATGGCATGAAACTAATTTGAAGATGTGGAACTGAGAGTATCGATTAGAACTCATCTATTATTTACTAAACTAGGGAAATCGTATAAAATCCGGTTTCCCTCAGATATACTAAAGTGTTTTAAAACCTGCAGAGGTGCAATTTAGGGGGGGGGCTGCCCAAGTACCGGGTTGACTTTTAATTTGCTAGAGCAAGTTGTACAGTACAAATACAGAGGGGACAGTACGCCAAATGAATGATCTCATGATAATTGTCTTAAAGCATTTTTGCAAAAAGTGAATATTTGCAAATTATATTTTTTCCATCTCATAATCTGAGTTCGTTTCCCCTATGTCCATTTGACAGCCCTAATTTTTATTTTGAATAATCTTTTTTGTTTGTTTATTTTCTTGTGATTTTTAGCAAACATTTTTTTTATTTTTTACCGATTTTGATTGTTATTATATCGTTCCCAGACCGAAATTTATTTTCAATAAATGTGGAACTAACATCTACCTACAGAGGTTTGGTCCATCACCATCACCGAATTTTAAATTGATTTCATTTAATAATTAAAATTTAAGTTCGCCGTCCGACAGAGATTAAAGAAGAATTTTGGTAAAAAGCACATTTAAAAAAATACTTGTTCCCAATGCCAAGAACTCACTTTGACATCTTGACATTGACATTTTTAATATTTTATTCTTATTGTATGTATTAGGTTTTTATAATTGCCAATTATGTTGTTTAAAACTAAATTAGCATAATTTGGTTTTATTTAGTTTTTTTTAGTCAAATTGTTGAATGTTATAATTTTGTTTCTTGAAAATTACGGAGATATTTTGACATTTAACATTTTTAGTTTATTTATGAACTACAGTAATAACCAGAAAACTGTAGAATAGGAAGACGACTTTGAAGCAATATAGAAGTAAATTTGATGTTGTTACAAAGTCAATAGCTTTACAGTAAATTATTAAATCACTTATTATTTAAAATGGCTGGCATGTAATTTCTGAGTTTTGGCAGGACTTTGCTCTAAACCATAAATAAATACAGTGATAGCCAGGAAACAATGGAAATAGAAGACGACATTACAGCAATACTTAATTTATGTGTATTTTATTTGTTTAAAAAACAAATCCTTTAACTAGACACTTATTATATCACTTATTTATTAATATGGGTCTGTGTACACTGCACAGTTGCTGTGCCTGATGTTCATTGCACTACTTTAAGCCAAAATTTGACTCTAAAAGTCGACTTCCTATTCTAGAGTTTTCTGGTTCTTACTGTATAAGTTTGAAAAAAAAATAAAACCGCATTTTGTAAATATCAGACTAGAAGTTTCTTGAATAAATTGTTGAAAGAACAGTAAGAACTAGAAAACAGGTCTTCTTCATTTTTTTCTTGATTACAAAATTTGATTCGCATGCAGTTGAAAAATTGCCTTGAACATTTTTAGAAATGTATCAGTGTGATTTAAAGGTCTCACGCTCTCAAGCAAAAATCTCTGAGAATTT